CAGGTGGGAGAGGGAGGTGGGACAGAGACTGGAAGGTGCTGCAGAGCTGGCTCTGAAGATGGAGGAAGCCAAAGACTGTGGCACCTTGGAAGCTGGAAATGTGCAGGAAAGGACTGTCCCCTGGAACCCCAGGAGGAGCACAGCCCTGTGGACATTTCTTTCATCTCAGTGAAAGAAATTCTGACTTCCTGAACCATAGGTGATAGCTCGAGTTGGTGTAATCAGGAACTTTGGGGTAATTTGTCACAGCAGCAACAAGAAACTTGTACATCCCCAAAAGCCACCTGGAGAGGTTCCCTGCCTCCCGTGCACCCCTTGGAACGGCCCTGAGGGCCTCGGAGGCTGATGAAGGAGAGTGGGGTCTGCACCCCTTACCTGTGACTGTGAGCACCATGGGGTTGCTGGGGCTCGACCACAGGTACGGGGAGACGTTCGAAAAGCTGTAGCACCGGTAGGTCCCGCTGTGAGCAGTGGTCACCGGGGCCATGGGGAAATCTGCAAGGTACCGCTCCTCGAGTCTCTTGTAGAGCCCAGCGTCCCCCTCCTTATACAGAGCAAACTGGTCAAAGCCATATTGGCTCTGACACTTCAAGGTCACATCCCCCCCTGGGGGCACCACGGGGCTGGGATGCGCAGTGAGCGAGGGCTTGTCGAAGACCCCTGGGAGGAGAGAAGACGGGGTCAGAGCCGTGGCCAGGTCCCAGCTACCTCACTTCTCCCTCCTGGAGGGGCCGCTCCCTGCCCCAGCCCAGGGAGGGGGGTCACAGAGTGGTTAAGGGACGCGTCCAGGTCACATCACAGGGCTCGGGTCCAACCCTGGTTCTGCTGCCAAGTAGCCCTGTGTTCCTGGAGAGAAGCGTCCCTCCACATCTGGGCCTCAGAGGCCACTTCACTGCTGTGAGATGGGCGTGGCTGAAGGAGACCACGTAGTGATCAAAGTCCAGCAGGGAAAGCCCTCACCCTGAAGGAGTGGCCAGGCAGCATGGTTCAGGACGAAAGCGTGTTAACGGCGCTCTGCAGCCTCGGTGGGGCCTGTATGAAGCACCAGCTTCAGGCCCCTCCAAAGCAAGACTCCAATTCCCTGAACAAAAACCCGTCAACTCATCACGACTAATGTCCCTACTTCATAAGGAAACGACAGTAACTTGTCCACCTTAGGTAACGACTCTGTACTGTAGGCTTGAAATTGTCAAAAAGTAGATCTTAAGTGTCTCACCACAAAAATGCTTGTTTGGGTCTTGGTGTTGGTGCTGGGGGTTGGGGTTGAGCCCAGGGGTGTTTGACCACTGAGCCACACCCCCAGCCACAGAGTCTCACTAAGTGGCTTAGGGCCTTGGTAAGTTGCTGGGGCTGGCTTTGAACTTGTGATCCGCCTTCTTCCACCTCCTCAGCCAACAAAAATGCTTTCAAAAGGTACCTATAGGGCCAGGTGTGGTAGGGCACAACTGTAGTCCCAACTACCTAGGAGTCAGAGGTGAAGCCCCAGGCCCTGGGGTTCAAGGTCAGCCTGGGCAGCATACGAGACCCCGAATCAAAAAAAGCAGCTGTGTTTCAGGTGGTAGATATGGCAATCCCTTCATCCTGGTGATCACCTCACCACATATTCCTGTTTCAAAACATCGAATTGAGTGCCCGAAAGACATATAATTTTTATCTGTCAAACGTATGTCAATAAAGCTGAAATTGTCTTGAATTTTAAATGAATCAATAACTTGTCCAAGATCACAGGACAATAGGTGACGAGCTGTAGTGCTCCCGTGGGTGTGGGCTGCCAGCTCTGCCCTCCCAGACCTGAGTGTAAAGTCCTCTGAGCTCACCATCACTGCCCACCCTGGTGACGACACACACCACGGTGACACACACCACGGTGACACATGCCTGGCACACAGGATCACGAAGGCAAAGAGCAATGAACAACCCTGGTAACTGGGGGCCGTTCACTCCTTCAACACTTCTCTGTGTTATTCCCTTTTCTTGAGGGGGGAGGTCACGCTGGGGATGGAACCCAAGGGCGCTCCGTCACGGAGCCACGTCCCAGCCCTTTTTACTTTTTATTTTGAGTGAGGGCCTCAGTAAGTTGATGAGACTGGCCTCCCACTCGTCCTCCTCCTGCCTCAGCCTCCCAGATTGCTGGGATCGCAGGCGGGCGCCTCCACACCCGGCTCTTTATCTCTGAAACGATGATCACGTGTCAGTTCTAACAAATAAAAATCACATCAGGTGGGAAAAAATTAGAGAACAACTAAGGCAAACAGGCCGATGCGTGGCACATCCGGTACCCTCCAAGGTCACGGTGCAGTTTTAGGTAGGGGCCAGGGAAATTCTCAAGGGGAATACAGCCTTCAAGGTGGACCCCAAAAGAAGTGGCGAGGAGGCCGGGCTGGCGGGCCCCAGAGGCAGGCAGAGACAGCAGGAGGGGACGTGGGATGGAGGCACACGGCCAGCCGGCACCCAGGGAGGGGCAAATCTTGATTTTTGTCCAAGTGATTAACAGGTTGAAAAATCAAGTAGATGATGAAAATCCACATCGTTCTCAGTTTGAATGTTTGTTTATACCTCCCCCCAAAGAAGGAGTTCTCATCTTCAGACGGGCTGTCCTGGAAGCAAGCTCCGGACAACGCAACCCCCTCCCCACCCCCGGAGAAGTGTGGTTAAGAACTGCGCTGGGGCTGGGAGGCACAGCCGCCGGCCGCTGTTCCTGTGGCCTCCGCTTGCAGCAGGCTTGGCCAGAGCCCTGCAGGGCCGTCCACCTACAGATGTGATTTCTGTCCATCATGGGCGTTTCTGCATGAATGTTTGATTTTTAAAAAACATGTTGCATGCAGGGGCTGGGGTCGCGGCTCAGAGGCAGAGCACGCCCTATCACCTGCGAGGCACTGGGTTGGATCCTCAGCACCACATGAAAATAAATAAATAAAGGTATTTTAAAAATCAAGATTATGAGTTCAGACCCAGGCGGGCGGCCCTGCATCCACTCCATCCCCCACCCTCCAGTTACCACTCCATCCCCCACCCTCCAGTTACCACTCCATCCCCCACCCTCCAGTTACCACTCCATCCCCCACCCTCCAGTTACCAGTGGCGACCAGCTCCAGATGGTCACTGGGGAGCGACCACTGGGACCCGTTCTGGTAGGAGCAGCGGTAGCGCCCCGCGTGACTCGTTTTCATGGCCGAGATGGAGAGGAAGTTCTGGTCCTCGTACTTCTTGGATCCCAGTTTCTCCAGGCGGTACAGGTCCACGCCCGGAGGCCCCTGGCACCAGAGGGTCACCGACCTCTCCAGGGGCACTAGGGAGCTGGGCAGAGCCCGGAGGGAGGGCTTGGGGAGGGGGCCTGGAAGGGATGCGTGACCGAGTTCAGTGGCCGAACGAAGAGGCCCCTCTGGGCCCCACACTTCGCCTGCCCGTCACACAGGGCCTGCGGAGAAGCACTCACCGTTCTGCGCTGCGGTCACCCACCGCCCCAGACACAGCCCTGGGGAGAGAAGAGAACCCGCGCTGGGGACTCCTTGGCGGACGCCTCCCATCCCCACTCGCTTTTCACTGTATTTCAGTTTTTCCAAAGCCACCCGTCACTGTTACGCGAAGGAAGCCGAGTCCCTAAGGACACACTCTGGGGATGGTATTGCACAGAGTCCAGAACAACTAAATCCACCGACACAAGCCTCCAGGGCCCTGTGGGCAGGACCCGGAGGACCGGGCAATCCCCTGGGGCTGGGGTTTCCTGGGGGAGGGGGGTGGGCACAGGTCTCTGAACCAGAGGCCGGTCTGCGACACCCTGAACAGACTGAATGTCACTCCTGGGAAATTCTGAGCTATGTGCATTCGACCACAATTAAAATTTTAAGTCAAAGATGGACTCTGCCCGCCCTGGGCAACCCCTCCCCGCTGAGCAGAGCCGCGGGGACTGGGTGCACACTGACCCCTGCTGTCAGGGTCTGGGGCGCTGGGCACTGACTTTCTCAGCAGAGGCGCTGTGCCAATTTCCCAAGGTGGGCCCTGAGCCCCCAGGGTGCTAGTGCTGGGCACCAGTGTTGCCCTGTGTCATTATCAGGCCACTGAGACAGGGTCTTGCCCACAGTCCCCAGCCGCGGCAGATGGATCCTAACACCAGCAGCATAGTTTAGTGGTAAAGAACGTGGGTCAGGGAACCCACAGAAACAGCAGACTGCAGCTCGGGGCCCCGGGGCTGGGGGAAGACACCCTGCAGGGCACCCACCGCCCAGGGCTAACCACGGGTTGACTTGGAAATCCCTGAGGATAGATCTTAAATGTTCTCACTATTTGAAAAATTCAGCTGAGCGGTATGCCTATGTGACTTAGCCCGAGTCAGCCAGTCCCCAAGGAGCTCGGGTATGGAAACACCATGACGCTGTGCACTACTGACACACGCAGCTGTCGTCAGCAAGAAACGCTCAGCCCGTCACCCCCGTTAAATATAAGGGGAAAAGTTAAAACCCAGCCTGGATTTGGTGGCAAAATTCCTTAGTTTGTATCTGAGTCCTTGCTGTGGGGACAAGTCACTTAACCCTCCGGTCCCAGTCACACTGTAAAATGAGGGAGGTTCTAGGGCCTGCCTCGTGGGGCCACGGAGGATTCCAGGGCTCAGTGTCTTAGAAAGGGAAGGAAACAACCCAGAACCGCAGGTCACCCGCGGTGAGAGTGTGCTCAAGGGCCAGCGCGGGAGCAAGTCAAGGGCCCTGGCTGCCCCTCGTCCTCGGAACACTGTCCTTCGCTGCCTGCTTAGCCTCTCGGGGCTGAGCCGTAGGAAATGACGGCACCAGGTGCCCAGCACCAGCCGGCGGAGAGCAGGAGAAGCACCGAGTCGGAAAGCAGCCGCGAGCTCCGTGCGCCCCAGGGGGGCTTCATCTCGCAGGGTTTATTGATCCTCTTTCACCAGGGGCGCAGTGCCTGCCCTTCGGCATCGCCCAGTCACCCCTGGGGACTCACCGAGACAGAAGAGAGCAGTCAAGGAGGGAGACATGGCTGCTGGGCCTGGGCAGAGCTCCGTGGTGGAGGCGGGCGCAGAGGCTCAGGCTGCAGTGAGGACGGACAGGCCCCTCCCCGCCCAGCCCGGGTTTCCTAATTGAGGCTCATCAGGCTGAGCTGTCTCCTCCGGAGAATGACTTGCACACGGGCTCCAAGGAGGCCCCTTATCTCCTCTTGCCAGCCTGCTGCCCCACCATCCCTGCCGGCCTGCTGTGGCCTGGCCTGTGTCCCATACTCCCGCTGTCACCAGGGGAACGCAAATCCAGGCCACATGAGGTCTCACTGCACACCTGCTAGGAGGGCTGTGACTTACGGAATGGCGAGGCAGAGAACATGGAGCCCTGTGCCCGCCTTGCCGGCAGCAATGTGACGGGGCAGACAGAGATGGGATTCCTGTGATCTAGCAAGTCCACCTCTGGGCACGAGCCCGGAAGGGTTGAAAGCCGGGCCTTGAGGAGGTATTTGTACCCCCGTGTTCATGGCAGAATGCTCACAGTGGCCAAAAGGTGGAAGCCACCCAGTGTCCATGCACAGGGTTTGGGTAAGCAAAATGGGATATCTAGATGATTGACAGATGGAGAGACAGACAGACAGGCAGAGACAGAGATAGCCTGGTCTATGATTTGTCCTTCAGGAATGACATTCTAATACCTGCTATAACCTACTCGTCCTGTCTACCTAAAACGTGCCTGTGACCGATCCCGTTCCTGATTGTTGAGGACCTTCCTGCTGTCCTCCACAGCAGCTGGGCCCGTTACACTCCTGCCAAGGGTGGGATGCGTGCAGACATGGGACAAGCACAAGGTGCTGGTGGAACGCATCTGGGGACCCTTGATAGGAAGGCTTCAGGGCGCTTTGATAGGAAGTGGGGATGCCTGGGGTCCTGGCAGGTGGCAGAGAGATTTGAGGAACAACAGCGGGTGTGGTGTCGGGCCTCTCCACCCTGAGCCTCACGGTCTCGTCTGCCCTGGGCCAGCTGGTGAGCCCCGTGGAGGGCAGCACCCCCAGAGGCCCTGAGGAAAGGGGCGTGCTCATGCGGCTGGAACTGAGCGTGCACAGAGCTGGGGCTGCAGATTGGAGGGGTCACATCAGGGTGTCCCCAACGCAGCACTACTGTCCAGGGCACCCCTGTTGGGGCCAAGAGGGCCTCCTGGAGACAGGCTGCTGAGTGGCAGCCGCAGCCCCGCACTGGGTGTTGCGAGCAGGAGTCCCCTTCCGATTGGGCCAGCCACACACAATGCGTCAGAGGTTGCCAGAGTTCTCTGGGGAGAGACCAAGGGTGCAGAATCCGAACCCAGACCATCCAGGGACTTGGAGTCCACTTCGATACTAGGACCTCTTCCTGGAAAGCTGACCCCTCCCCTCTGGCCCGAGCCCCTCCTCTGGATTCTGCAGGGTGGACCTTTCTCCCAGACGTCCTGTGTCATCGTCAGTCAGATCACCAAAGAGAAACCAGCACATGGTGCACAGGGCGTGTCTCTGAGGTCCTGGGAATGCAGGGGCTTGTCCGGGGTTCTCCACTCTGAACCGCGAGTCCACAGAGGCCAAGAGCCGTGATGAGGCTCAGTGAGCAGGAGGTGCTGCCCTCTGTGGTCTCGGTGTGGAGGCCACGCGGCTGCTGGACCCAGCACAGCGCAGCCTCTGAGGTGGGCTGAGCACCCAGAACGTCCCCTCAGCAGGATCTGCCCGGCTCCAGACTCCTGAGGCCAGGACCCCCATCAGGGTGTCTGGGGGCACAGAGTCTCCCTCCCAGGTCACAGCACAGTCGAAGCTTTACGGCTGGCTCTGTGGTGGTTCCACGCACACCCGAGGTCCACAGCAGGACCGTGAACCCACGGAGCAGTAACACTTCCACCCGACAGACAGCCTGGCCGGCCGTGGGCCACCCGCCATGGTTAGAGGAGTGGCCAGCAGGCCCCGGCAGCGGTTCCTTCACCGCCCAGGGCACAGGCCATGTACCCCCCAAGCCCTCCTGTGAGAGTGTCCGCTGGTGCCTCGGGGGGAGCAGGTGGGTTTACATCAGGCTGACGTTTTGACAACTGGGCTGTTCACACACTGTCATGGATTTTGTTCATTCCAAAACAGCAACTATCTACTGAGCACCTGCTGCACATGGGGCAGCCCCCGGGTACAGAGCCCAGGGAGCCCGAGGAGCTTGGGCAATGGCAGGGCAGATGGAGAGCTGTTTTCTGAGGCTGTGCAGTGGATTCCCACGCGCCTGGCGAGGAAGCCAGGCCGTCTCCTGGGCCAGGCGTAGGGGAGTTCTTCCCTCAGGGTCTCAGGCCTGCACTGGTCTCAGCAGGGCCACCTCCTCCTCTCAGAGCTCGCTGGGGGCAAGAATGCACTCCCGGGCTCCCCGATTGTTGGAGGACTTTGCTTCCGGCTCACAACGTGGCCCCGCCCCTGGGTCCTGGAGGAGAGCCGCACCCCAGGAGGGGTCCCGGGAGTGTTGAAGGGCGGTGTGTCCGTGTGTCCGAGCCCGGCCAGGATCAGCTCCCTTTTGCAGAATGTGGAATCCACTGACTTGGGCCCTCAATGACTTGGGGGGTGGCCCGCTGCGCCCAGCCATCTCACAGTCAACGCTTCTGTGTGTGGCAACAGCGATACAATCTAACCACTCGGCAAAAATCCTGACCCAGTTGAGTGCTGTTCACTCCAGTCCTCACACTGGACGTTGGACCTCAGCCTTGACCGTCCGCGTCTCCCCGCGTCCTCCCCACCCTGCTCCTTATAACACCTGTTCTACCCTCAGCCTTTGTGTGTCCAGCCTCCGTCCTGGTCTGTTCAGATGCCACGTGTCCCTGAGATGGTGCAGCCTTTGCCTTCTGCGCCCGGCTGCTCTGTCGCGGCCTGCCGTCCTCCAGGTCCATCCTGCCGTGGCAGCTGCAGGACACCCTTCTCCTTAAAGGCTGAGCGGTACTGAGTGATGAGCACAGAGACGTCCCCAGGTCCACTCTCCACGGAGCTGGCGTCACACAACTCGACAGCAGAAACACAAAGAGCCTGGTCTTTAAACGAGCGAAGGACCTGAATTTTGTTTATTTCTGTGACTCACATGAATGGCCGACAGATACACAAAGAGGTGCTCCCATCACTGACCGGCCACTTCGAGATGCCACTGAGGAGCTGAGGCATGTGGGGGAGGGTGACAAGGGGACCCTGCACCTGAGCCTGTGGAGGCTGCAGCCACGGGGAGAGCCACGGGGAGAGCCACGGGGGCTGAAGGGGTTGAAGGCCAAGCCCCCGCGTGAACCAGGGTCCCCCTTGGGATCACAGTGGGCAGAATGGACTGCCCCCCCCCGGGGAGCACCGTGACCAGCGTGCTGCAGCGCCACCCACAACGTCCAGCTGCGGAAGACTCAGGGCCCTCCTCAGGCCACTGGTCTGCTTCCTGAGGGCTGGAGGGCAGGCTGGCCTCCCGCAGCTGTAGCCAGTCCCTTAGAGGAGGCCTGCCCGGCCACCCGCCCCTCCCCACGTGAGCCCAGGCAGGCTCCTCTGAAACACTTGGTGCGAATTGCCAGGAGCGGGAACTGTGCCAGAGCCCCGGGGTTCCCGGCAGTGCACGAGCTTCTCCCTCCGAGTCCCAGGGCTCCCACCTGGTGGCTGGCGCTGAGGGACACGGAGCGGCACCTGGGCACTGCCGTCCACTCAGCCAGCCCTGCTGGCCTCTCAAGGCGAGGTGAGCGTGGCATACACACAGGGCTGTGCTGACCCGTCCTGGGGCGCTCGGGAGAGAAGTGCACCCACACTCCTGGTGAGGGTCCTTGGGTGCAGCTGGACATAGGTCACCTCCTGTGGGCCTTCTGCAGCAGGGGCCTGCCACGGGGAGGCACACGTGTGCAGCGGGCACCTGGGCTTGGGCTGGGAGGAGAGGGAGTGGTGGGAGGGCTCACCTGTGTGTCCACCTGTCCATGCTCCCTGTGCTCGGTGTCATCTGAAAGGGCAGATGAGAGGGTGGACCTCCTACACGACAGTCCTCAAACGACCCGGTCCCACCTCCCAGGTTTCGGAGCAATACGTTCTCCAGGGGACAGTAATGGCCCCAGGCAGGGTGGAGCTGGCTCCTGTCCTGCCCTGCCCCAGGCCTCCAGCTGCTCGGCTCCCGCCCCACACAGGCCGCCCTGCTCCGGTCCACTCACCTTCATCTTCCCGCTGGACGTCAGAGGCAGGGCTGGAGCTGAGGGGAAGGGAGGAGGGGTGTCATGGAAAGTCCCCGAGAGGACTCAGAGGATCTCTGAGGTTTTTACTGGGGGAGTCTGAACTGTCCTACCTCACGTCCCACACTGGGCTCTTGGTCCCACCGTCAGTCACCCCTAGGAAGGGACAATGGTCAGGCTGGAAAGGAGCAGCCAGCCCCGGCCCACAGTCCTCCCCGATTCACCTTCAGCCCCAGGACATACTGCGTCTGGCCCGACGATGCCCTCGGTGTCGGCATAGGCAGAGGCCCAGGAGGAGGAGGCAGAGGCCCAGGAGGACAGCAGCGGCGGCCGAGACCCCAACCACAAGGGGACTAGGTGGACCTGGGGGTTCACACACAGTGAGGATCCGCCTGCACCCTGCGGCTCTGATCACCCCTAAACTAAACCATCCACGAAGGGTCGCTGGCCACGCGGGGACAGCAGTGAACCCTCCCCGCCAAGGCGGTCAAGCAACAGGTGAAGCCTGGCCCCCCCAGGGACAGGCGCTGTGACAGACACTCACAGCAGCACCACAGAGGCCCTGTGAGGGGAGCTGAGCCCTGAGGGCAGGGACACCCCGGTCTCCACCCTGCAGGGAGTGCTTCCCCCAGCTCAGGGGAGGAGCCCTGTGGCCCTGGACAGCACTCCACAGTGTGAGGGAGGGAGTCCCTGGACGTGAGCGCTCAGCCTGGCCAGGGCAGTGCTGGGACCTCGGAGGCCACAGAGCACCTCTAGGTCTAAGCACCCCGCCCCAGGGGGTCCACCAGCAACGGGCAGCGGTGGCTCTCGGCCTGGCTCCCTGGTGCTGGGTGGAGTGAGAGGCCAGTGCAGGGAAAGTCACAAGGACCAGGTGACAGGGCACCTTGGTGTGACAGTGTGATGTCGGAGAACTGAGGGTGTCAGGGCTGGCGGATAAGGCTGTGGGCACCAGGCAAGATGACCTGAAGGCGCCCTCCAGAGAGGGCAGGGGAGTTCCGCTTCCATGAGAGGCCGGGGAGGGGGCCTGGACACCTGTCCCTCAGGAGCTCTGCGGCTGGCCACTGGAGTCAGAGAAGGACAGCTCTTGGACGTGTGATGCAGGCCACAGGATTCTTTCTGACTAGAGCTATAAGGCTAGGAGTGTCCATGGAGAGCAACCAACTCAGCTGTCCCCACCCAGCGCTCCTGTCCCCAGAGGCCAGACGTGAACACCAGCCATCTCCATCTCCTCCTCCACTGTCCTGGACCTCTTCCTGGGGGCCGGCTGCACATGTCCACCCTAACCCAGGCCACTGTCACACTGACCAGTCACGTCAGAAGGCCCCAGCAGGGTCTCTCACCCCTCTGTGCTCGTGTCCCCTGGGTCACCCCTGGCTGGAGCATGTCCCCTCCCTGACACCTGAGAAGTCCCAGCTGCCCAGAAAGGGGAAGGCCTGGGGACTCGGCCACCGGAGCAAAGGCAGGACCTGTACCTCCCTGGCCAGCCTGCAGGGTCCTGGACATAAGTCCATCCTGGGCACCCTGCATAGATGACCATCCACTGTGTCCACCCACAAATGGCCACTCTGAGGTACAACGGCTGTCACAGCATCACACAGAAGGGGACCCAGAAATTCACCTACATGAAGAAACTTCAGAGACATTTGTAACATGTGTGTCACCAGTTAGTGACATGCTGACTGTCCCCACACAGAGAGGGACTGAGGGGAAGGGACTGCAGGAGGTAACAGGCACCAACTGACCACTCCATCGCTGGGGACTCTGGTCCATGAGCCTGGCACTAGGTCATGGAGCATCTCCCCATGGATGGGAAAGGACATCGCTGCCCCAGCCACTTACTTACATCTGCCCCAAATTGTCACAATGAATATGTAAGTGCTCAGGGTCCAGAAATCACACAGAGTGACCACGGCTAGGACCCGGTGAGGGCACCACCACACAGTGTGGGGGCCGACCTGAACGCCTCGAGACACCCCTGTCCAGGGCAAAGGCACAGCGGTCAGACACGCACTCACCTGTGACCAGGAGATCAAGGGGGTCACTGGGCAGAGACCAGAGGTGGGGTCTGTTCCTGGAGGAGAAATAGCACCTGTAGGTGCCCCCGTGGGCCAGGGTCACAGGGGACATGAGGAACGAGCTGTGGGTCTGGTGGGAGCATTTCTGGGACAGGGAGGCTGCCCTGTCTCTGCACAGAGTGAAGACGTCATAGGAATAAGTTGTGTGACAGAGCAGAGCCACCTGTCCCCCTGAGGCCACCTGGGGACCAGGCTCAGCAGTCAGGGAGGGCTTCTCCTTGTACATTCCTGGAAGAAAACAGATCCAGCTTTAAAACCACCATGAAATGGACCCTGGCTCCCCTGCTCTGGTGTCGGAGGAGGAGGATGACCAGGAGATGCTGACCTGGATGAACTTCAGGGACCAGGGGACAAAACACAAACTCCTCCCACTTTCAGGACCGAGGACAGGGGGTGGCTGTACATGGTGGGAGGCTGAGCACCCCCAGGACCTGCAGCCCCTCTCTGGGCAGCTGGGACCCCAGTCAGCACACAGGAGGGGACCCACACAGTGGGCAGAGACCCTGGGCAGGGTCTGCTCTGGGCACACGTGGGTCAGTGAGGTGGGCGGCAGAGTGTGTGGCTGGGGACAGTGTCCTTGGCTCTCCTCACCTGTCACCACCAGCTCCAGTGGGTCACTGTGTCCTGATGGGAGTCCTTCTGTCCAGTATTCACAGTGGTAAGTCCCTGTCTGGTTGTGTGTCACCTGCTGGAGGGAGAACTGGGCCACCTCTGGGGCTCCCTGTGGGTCTCTGTCACGCCACAACTTAGTTTCCACATGATACAGACGCAACTGTGTCACCCCTGGAGGAATCCTGCAGACGATGGTCACAGCACTGCCGTGGGGAACCAGAGATCCTGGCTCCGCCCAGATGGAGGGCACCCCTGGGAGAAGCAGAAGAGCCCCGTCACCTGTGACCTGGTGTCAGGAGGGCCCCATCCAGGGCTCTGCCCCAGCCCATCCTGGGGGGTGAGAGGGGTGACCTGGGTGTGAATCCAGCCTCGCCTCCCTGAGTGGTGCCCTGGGCAGGGAGGGACCTCCACCCTCCGCCAGGAAGGAGGGTCATCTATTAGACCTAAATCGCCCTCAACAGGACGTCACCAAGCCTGTGACCCGTGACCCTCCCTGGTCCCCTGGAGCTCCACTCCAGTGTCTCCGTTGAAGAGTGGCCTCCCTCCCTGGGCTGCCTCCTGTCTTTGGCATACTCGAGGCTTCAGAGTGTCTGGGCTCCGTCCTGCAGTCTGTCTGTCCATCCTGCTCATCCTGGCAGTGGAAAGCCCCCTGACCAGGGTCGGACCCTCACGGCTGGGGCTGGGCTTTGCTGAGGGATCGCCCAGGAGCCTGCCTGAGGAAGCCGTGGGCCCAGGTCCAGAGCAGTGACCCTGTGGACCTGAGGCTCAGACTCGGCTGCCGGGAGGGCGGATCTGAGCATGAAGCAGAACCACAATTATTGCAAGTCCTGCCACCTTCGAGCCTCCGTGCTGGGGAGGAGCTCCCCCACAGATGAACCCTGCAGGGTCAACATGTGTGCTGGCTCAGGGTCACTGCTCCTCCACCAGAGGTCACTGTCCCACCTGCCCAGCTTTCTCTTTATAAATGTGTGTGGGTCTTCCGTGATTCCCCCTGGCCCCTGTCTATATCCTACCTATGAGTCTCACCTGTCCACCATCAGTGAGTCACTGTCCATCGTCTGTCACTATCCACCCACAGAGTCCTGTCAGTCATCATCACTAGCTATATCTGCCATCCAGGTATCTCCTGAGTATACTCACCTGACTCTTCATCTACGTAGGCACACGCACCTGCACCCTGAAACCACTCACCTGAACCCCAGACTAGTCAACCCCACTGTAAACCAGTCACAATGCAAAGGTTCAACTAATTACACCTAAATTGAACTTCTGTTCAAATCAAATGACCTCATCTGCTGGGCGAACACCCAGAATATCCAAAGCAGTCCTGAGCAGGAAGAGCAACACTGGAGTCATCCCAATACCTGATCCCAACCACGCCCAGAGCTACAGGAACAAAACTGCACCAAACTGCACCAAAACAGGCACATAGACCTGGTACAGGACAGAAGACACAGGACAGACCCACAGAGACACAGTCCCCTGATGAGGACCAAGGTGCCCAGGACACACAGGGCAGGAAAGCAGCCTTTGCCACCAAGGGTGCAGGGACAACGGGCTGTCCACATGGAGAGGAGGGAACTAGACCCGGCCTGTCACCCTGCACAGTCACCTCATGTGGACCACAGACCTGGGAATCAGACCAGGAACCTGCACCTGCTGGAAGCCCACGGAGGCTCAGGTCAGCCTCAACATCCTGGTGCAGGCCCAAGGCCTTAGCAGACCCTGACCCAGGAAGTGACCCCGAATCAGGAAGTGGGGGACATCAGGAAGAGCTCAGCCCAGCAGGGGAGGCACCCTGAGGGAGAGGAGCTGCAGTCGGGGACAGGGGCAGGAGCTGGCAGAGGCCCAGAGCCACACAGGGCCCCGCTCTGCATTGTCGGAGCAAGGGGCCCTGAGCTGACCTCTCAGAGAGCAGAGGGCCAGAGCTGCCCAGGTGACCCCAGCAGAAGGACTCCACACCCAGGAAGCATCACAGCTGCCATTCTCAGGAGGAAGTGGGTCCCCGGCAAAGTCCCAGCCCTGGCCCTGAGTGTCCATGTGCATCTCTGCTGTTCCCAGGCAGATGTCTGGTTGCCAGGAGAGACCCCCTTGTCAGACGGACACCTCAGTCAAGGCCAACCCAGAACGGAGACTGTGGACCCAGCACCTGGCAGGTCCCTGGCAGGAGTCCGAGGCTCCACTTCCCCCCCAGGCCCACGCTGCCAGACCCAGAGCTGCCCAGGGCTGAAGGGGACACTCACCTTCCTGGGCCTGGGTCCTTTGCTCCAGGAAAAGCACTGCAATCGGGGGGCCTGGTGAGAGGGCAGCGCCCGGGACCCGGGACCCCTCCCCTGAGCTCGGGCCCAGACCTGCTGCAGACGCTGGGCCGTGGCTGATCCGGCCAGCCCCTGGCCAGGACCCGGGGGGAGTCCCCAGGAGGACCAGGCCGGGCCTCTCCATCTGCACCCTCCCACCCAGCTCGTCCCCTCCGCGCTCACCTAGTCCCAGCAGCACAGAGACCCCTGTGGCCATGGCCGAGCCGGGCCCAGGTCCCCTCACACCCAGCTGGCCGCTCAGGAGCCTCATGGGACACACCCAGGGCTGGAGCCGTCCGGGCCCTGGAGCCCCTCCTCACACGATGGTGACACTGGCTGCCACCCAGGAAGGGGAGGGCTCCCGGCGCAGGACGGGCTCTGCGCTGGCCAGCACCCCTCAGGCTGGGTCTCAGTTCCTCCCAGGGTTTCCTCCTCTGGTCCTCGAGCCTCAGAGACGTGGGAGGGGTGCCCACGCCTGACCGGGGCTCGCGGCCTGCACAGGGGGAGGAGGCCCCTGCTTCCTCCTAAGACTGGGGACTCTGGGTGGGCTAGGCCGACCCCACTCTGGGACTGTGCAGGAGGGGCCTGTGGGACCCAGGAGGGCGGTGACAGCCAGCCTCTCACTGCTGGGACCACACACCCAGGGACAGCCCCTGAGGAAGGAGACGGGCTTGGGTCCAGCTTCAGAGGTTCCAGGCTCTGGGCAGGGATCCGCTGCTCGGGCCTGGGGTGAGGAGGGACGCGTGGTGGACGGGAGCAGAGGACGCTGTGGCTCAGGGCAGCCAGGGAGGAGACAGGAGGTGTGGGAGCGAGTCCCCTGAGGACACACCGCGTGTCCACCCAGCCAGTGCCCACCTCCCAGATGTCCACCGAGTCCTCAGGGTCCACTGCCTCCCCAGAAGCCCACCTCTGAGCGCAGGAGGCCTCGGGACACTGCAGACCCTAACGCTGGGTTTCCCTCTGCAGCCACGGTGACCCTGGGCTCCGCCTCGCCCACACAGACCACGCCTCCTGGTGGACGGCTCCAGGCCTTTCCTGAGGCCCAGCCACTGGGCAGCTGCCTCCGCCCCCCTCACTGCACACCCAAGAGTCAGTGGGCTCTGCCCATGGTCACCCTGTATCTCTGTCTTGGGGACCACCTGGTGGCTCTCTGGTGGCACCCACAGCTGGGCTCCCTGCTGCCCAGGTACACCTCTGCTGCCCCGCCAGGCGGCCAGCCATAGAGCTGGACCCACAGGAGAAGGCAGCCAGCTGACCGTGCTCCCCTTCCTGGGACGGGAGAGGATTCTAGGAAGGAAAGGGGAGAACTTGACCCCAACCCACAGCAAGTCCCCCCAAGTCCACGGAGGCAAACCCCACAGCTAATTCCTCGCCCGCAGGAGGGGATGAGCCCTTCCTCCCTGGGCATGTGTGGGTCTGGAGATGGCTCCCAGGACAAGGGTACAAGTGTCCTCCTGTAAATGGAGGCTCCCACCACCATCTGACCCCCGCCCGAGGACCCGAGGCCAGGTGGTGCCCACCCTGTGGGAGCGGAACCGGCTGCTCCTTCTGCAGATCTGACCAGACACGCTGCTGCCCGGCCCTCGCTGGCGTGGAGACTCAGAGGACCGCAGACGCTGACGGGGTGGAAACAGGGAGCCGTCTGGCTCTCGGGCTCCCTACCCCCAGCTCAGCTGCTCAGGTCGCAGACCCCAGACGCCAGGGTGAGGCTCAGGGCACACTGAAGTGGACAGGATGCTCCAGGTGACCTGCAGCTCTAGGGGCTCGGGGATGGCCGTCCACCTGCAGGTCCACACATGCAGATGCACAGTTGTGAGTGCTAACGGGAATTCGGGGGGCTTTCTGGGTTCCACCTGCATGTCCACAGAGGCATGACAGATGCTGCACGGCCCCTCCAGGGACCAGTCTCACCGTCCAGTCCCCACATTGTGCCAGCTGAGGTCCCTTGCTGGACCTTCACTGCTGACTCCTTCCTGGACCCCCACCCTGCTCCCCCTTCCTCCCGGCTCACTGGCCTCCTGGCTGTGGGACACTCTTGTCCGCCCTTCCTGGAATTACAAGCCCCAAGCACCAAGTGCCACTGTGGCCCCAGGGTCCCGAGCATGTCCACACACCCTGGACGTCGATCCCATGACCACCCTTCTCCCATCCTGGGTGCTCCTCACCAGCTTGCTGGCAGAGAGGGGGGCTCACCAAGACGTCTCCTGGGTGCAGATGTCCTGCCACCTCCCTGTCCTCCTGCCGTCCAGCTGCAGCAAGGCCCGGGCAGGTGTGGGGGGACCACGCAGGGGGTGGGTGCCCTCAGTGCTCTCACAGCCCAGCTCAGGAAGCCCCTGGGTGCAGGTGACACACGGCCACGTGGCCAGATTCAGCGGGCCTCCCCCAGAGACTCTCGTGGCTCAGCACCCACCCTGGACGTGACGAGGGGCCACATGACATATGGCCCAAGTGTCCCACAGGGCAAGAAGGTCCCTCACACCTGTGCTGACATCCTCCTCAGTCACACCTGGGACAGAGACGCTGCTGCAGTCAGGGACATTAAGTGTGACCAAAATCTCAAGGGGGTCCCTGGGCAGAGACCAGAGGCCGGGTCTGTCCCTGGAGGAGACAGAGCACCTGTAGGTGCCCCCGTGGGCCAGGCTCACAGGGGACATGGGAACAAGCTGTGGGCCTGGTGGGAGCAGTTCTGGGGCAGGAGGCTGCTCTGTCTCTGCACAGAGTGAAGACGTCATAGGAATAAGTTGTGTGACAGAGCAGAGCCACCTGTCCCCCTGAGGCCACCAGGGACCTGGGCTGAGCAGTTGGGCAGGGCATTTCCTCATATGTTAGGAGGGAGCCGTGCCCGTGTCACCGTCCTGTGGTCTGACCTGAGAGAGGGAGGACAGAGTCAAGGGGAGTTTAACCCCAGGTCAGGAGTCACTAGGACAAAAACCAAACTTCTCTTCTTACTTTTTGTGACCCAGAATGAGAAGAATCAGTGCTGTCCCAAGAGGTGTGTCCCCGGGGACACCAGTGGGAAGAGACGGGGGCAGAGGGAGCAGAGACGGAGGGCAGGTCTGTGCTGGGCACACCTGTGGGGCCAGCTGTCCCTCACCTGTCCACCCTCTCCAGTGGGTCACCACACCCTGGCCAGGCTCCTTTCTTCCCATGCGCCCAGCAGGAAGCCCCCGCATGGACGGGCACCCCCTGGAGGGAGACCTCGGCCACTTCCTGGTCTCCCCGGGGGCCCTCTCTGATCTCTGCTCTATGCAGACCTAACAGTCACATCTAGGCTCTGCAGAGGAGGTCACAGAACTTCCCTGACGGTCACTGGAGCAGAGCTGAGCTCCTGAAGTCCCGAGGCCCAGGTTCCAGTCCCTTAAGACACTCCAGGGCAGCACGCTGCGTGGGTGTGGGGAAGCCACCGGGGTGTGGTCCAGCAGGCTGCGTCCTGACCCTGTGAGCAGTGAAGTCAGACCTGCTCGGCGTCAGGGCACCGACGACATCAGTCCGCCTCCCGGGTGGGCTCCCCTGGGTTCCTCACCTGCGCGGATCCTTAGTGACCAGGACATTGCAGGGCCCTCCCGAGCTTCCTGAAGTTGGTGTCGGAGCCTCTGGCTTAGCGCTCAGACTTGAGCGTCTCTTCTCTGCGTCCCACCCTCACACACACACACACGCACACCCCACTCGCTCCAGGTAACGTCACCTCTTCCCCAGGGAACCTCCGCACCCATTCCTCCATACCTGCCCGAGCCCAGCCTAGCCCAGCCTGGTGACCAGCTCCTGTCCCTAGGAATCTGACTCCTCGAAGTGCCTCAGATAAGCAGATCCCTCACCAGTCCTTCACAACTGGCCTATTTCACGTAGCACACTGGCCTCGAGGCCCGTCCACACTGCCCTTCTGAGGCTGGACAAGACTCTGTGATACACAAGTCCCGCAATTTCACTGACCCATCCTGCCCTCCATCAACCCACTTGGGCTCTTAGGTGGGGTGCCAGCACCGGCCAGAGCCCTGTGGCTTGATTTTGCTAGGAGATGGGAGCAGACGTGACTTGTGCCCTCTGTGTTCCCTGGAGATCAGCACAAGACGGAGGGGGAGCTGTCCCCTTCCCTAGTGCTGAAGTCGGAGGAGGGCTGAACTGGGTTGGACCTGCGCCTGGAACGCAGCACTAAGGCCGCCTCAGGGACACGCTGTGAGGAATACGCAAGCTGCTCCGTGCCACTGAGAAGCAGGCGCTCCTCCTGACGCGTGACTGCAGCGGAGGAGGCGTGTCCTATTCACTCTGAGAGGAAGCCAGCCATGCTTGAGGCTGCCCTCTGGCAGCGGCCCCTTCCCGTGCCCCACCGACTTCAGCATGTGGCCAGGCTAGCCTGCTGCCCCCCCAGTCCACAGCCTCCCCCACTGGGGCTCGGCCCTCACAGCTGTCCTTCAAGGCACCCATCGGGTCTCTCTAACCACCCAGATGGGGACCCAGCGCTGCCCCCCACAGGCATGATCCGTTGCCATCGCGGTGGCCATCCCGTCTTTCCCCGGGGAACAAGGAGGAACGGGACATCCCGCCAGCGAGCTCTGTTCCACAGGAGGTCCACCCGCCCCGTGCACAGTTCAGCCACACCTGGGAGGAGCTGTCTGTTCCCTGCAGCGTGACCCACACCTCAGGTCACATCTCCATGGGAGGCGTGTTCTGACTCTGACGGGAAACAGGCCACCAGGACGGGTCGTAGCCCCGGCTCCGACACCCACATCCCCAAACACAGCACCACCTGAGTGAGAGGACAGGTGTGTGACACAGGAACTCTGGAGCCACAGCCAGGAGAGGAAGCAGAGCAGCAGCCCTGGCTTCATGAACAAGCCTTGTCTCTGAAGGTTGGGAGGAGCAGGGCCCCGGAGCTCGGAGTTGGAGGGTCTTATTCCGTATGAAGCTCATGAGGTGGAAAGACTAGTGGGGGAGGGGTGGACCTGTGAAGCAGGTTTGGAGATGGAGCAGACAGATTCTGGAAGGACAGCATCTCCAAGTGCCTGCGGGGGTCCCTCCCTGTACCCACGTGCCTGCTGGCCTCGGTCACATCTGTGAGGCACGTTGGTCATTCCTTGGTCTCAAGCACCCCTTTTCCTTCAACCACGGGAGGCTCTACCCGCAAGCCGGCTCTGGGGGTCTCCACGGGGGCCTCTGCGAGGGCGGCTTCCTTCCTGGGTGTGGCGGGTGCTGGTGTTGAGAGAAGTCCACATTATGAAGGGACAGATCCTCAATTGAGGAGAATGTGTGCCAAAGTCACTAGGACGTCGCCGAGGTTGGGTGTGGCGTTAGTGTCTTTCTGACAGCGAACAGTGATGCTGAAGGAGGGTCTGGGTTTGCCGGGTCAGTGGGGCGAGGGAAAGGGACAGTGTCCACTCTTCCAGTCACTCAGTCTGCCTTTATTCCTCTTTCTGAAATGTCCTTCTCACTCGTCAGGTGTGGAGAGGGGTCTCGTCTCTCTCCCTCTTCTCCTAGCCTCCAGGGCTCCGTCAAGGGCTGTGGACTTGGATCCGAAGGCCCCACCTCTAAACCCCACAGTCAGTTAATGTCTCACGACAGGATTGAATCCAACACAGACCAGGGAGGGAGGCGAAGAGGGACAGGGAAGTGCTAGGGAAGGCCATTGGCCAGATTACGTCGTATCCATGTCTGAGTCTGTGACAATGACTCCCACCATTACATAGGATGTGATGTGCCAATTAAAACATTAAACAAGAATAAGTGTCAACAATGAAGGCTTGGGAGACCCACTCCAATCCCACCCCAGCGCACCCCACCCAGTGGTGCCCACGGACAGGACCAGTCATCCTAATGTCACATCAGCTGGTTCCTCCGTGTTTACGACGGGATGCTCTCGGTGGCTGGTGGACATCAGGTCACAGTGGTGACAGACCATGCCCGGGAGCTCAGGGTGGAGAAGAATGTCCATTGAGAGTTGAGGGGAGGCCACTGGGTGGTTTAGTGACCTCCATCTCTGTTGAAGGTCACTCCGTCCATTGGAAAATGGGCTGCAAATGAGGCAAACACTTCATGGAAGGAGACAGAGGGCACCTTGGTCCCCACACTCCCCGTGAGCCCCGAGGGACTGACACAGGTTCCATAAGGGCTCAGCATGTCTGTCCACAGCAACAACAAACCCAGCCCTCCTCCCAGCACCTCCCAGCACCGGTGGACCACATGGAGGGAAGACCACCACCACTGGATCTTATCTGAGCCAAAGGATCTGGGCACTAATGGCTTGTATTCCCCAAAACTCAATTATCATGGCCACTCTTTACAAAAAAAGAAAATAGCTTGGGCCTTGGGCCTGGGGCCTTGGGGCCCCTGGAGGAGGCCCTGGTGCTGTGACACTGTGTCCCCACCCTCCCGCCCTCCCTCCCAGGCTCCCATTCTGGCAGTTGGCTGTGACACAGGTGAGCCTCTGGGCCCTGCTCTCCTCGCCCTGCCCCTCCTCCACGGGTGTGAGGGGGAAAGGAGGTCAGTAAGCCCACAGGAGGAAGGCCCACCTGGACTGGGGAGGCGGAAGCCGGGGCATCACACAACAGGGACGTGGCCTGGTCTGCGCCCTCCCTGGGCTCCTGTGCACAGGTTATCAAGCAAAAGGCCTTGTCCCCAGCACCGCAGACAGCAGCCTGGCCTCGTCTCGACAGTGACCACCCAGTAGCTCCCACACCTGAGGCCAAGTTCTCACTGACCTCGAGCAAGTGCCGTTTCGGGGTCCACTCAGCGTCCCGGCCAACAGAGCACAGAGTGTGAATGGAGAGGCGGGTGTCCCTCCGCCCACAGCGAGGACTGGGCACATCTGTCAGCACCACCAAAACAACAAACCAGATGTCCGCAGCCAAGACCACAGCTGCCCAGGACCACAGCTGCCCAGGACCTCAGCTGCCCAGGACCCCAGCTGGTGACCTCGGCTCCCAAACGACTCTGGTTCCCTCCCGTGCTCATGTCCTGGCCAGAACCCTGGGGACTGCGACAACAGGAGTCTACTCTGGTGGTTCTGGAGACGGACAGTGTGAAGTCGCTGGCCAGCCTGGCCACATTCCCTGCATCTCCTCTCAGTGACCAGGTCACCTCCCTCCGCTCAGCTCAGCGGGCTCTGGATGGGCTGCACCTGAGCCGTGGGTTAGCAGGGTCACTCAGCCTGTAACACTCAGGCAGCCTGAGACCCCGATGTAAGGAGGACGGTGCAGGGGGCAGGGGGGCCCAGGGACAGGCAGCGGTGATGCTTTGGTAACTGAACATTTGAAACAGTAACTGAAAGATGTAAAAAGGTGTGTTGGCTCAGGGCACCCTGCTCCAGCCATTCTGACCCACGCCGTTGGACAGGTGCCCTGCATTGGGCAACCCACTCTCGGTGCCCCAGCCACCCCCACACCTGGCACACCGGGGCTGAGTAGCAGGCTCCCCCTCTGCAGGAGGGTGGACTCTGCTGCCAGAGTCCAGCGAGGGCAAAGGGAGACGGTACCAGAGAGGTCGAAGCAAAAGCAGGGACGGAATTGCCCGAGGGACTAGATTTCGGTTGTGACAAAGGAAAGAAAAACCAGGAGAACCCAGTGTGGTGTCCACCTGAGCAGCTGGGACAGGGCGTGGCTGCTGTGGGGCTGGGAAACCGGGAGGAGGGGACGCCCAGGCGGGACCAGTGGTGCGCCCTGGGCAGGCGAGGCTGGGGAACTCCCCACCTGGGGGAAGCACCCGGCAGGACGTGCCATGCCACACGGAGGCCGCAGCTGGCGGCTGGTCCTCACCCAAACAGTCGTGTGTGGAGGTCACAGGCAAACAGGCAGGAGGGGTCTTTGTAGGTTTTAGAACTGGATTCTAGCCAGGGTGGCACGACTCAGTCAGTTTGCCTGAAGTGGGTGGATCCCCTTGGTGCAGTGAATTTGTGTCAGTTATTAAAGGACGCTGCCGCAGAGCCGTGGGGTGGCCTGAAGCAGGTCTCCAGCAGGTGGCAGTGTTGGACGTACCAAGTGGAGCTGCCAGAAACCCACACAGGCTGCGAGGTGGGCGGGCAGGGCACCCGGCCAGCAAGCCACCGCGCAGCGCTGCCCCTGGCCCTGACAGGAGGAGCTGGGGTCACAATCTGAAAATGGCTCATTGAAATTGGGAGTGGGCAAAGGGAAGGGCTATAGTTAAAATGGCTACAATTTGATCTTACTTCCCAATAAGGCTGAATACTACATGCTGAAAATGGACACCCGGACTTCTATTTCTCACAAGCAGGATCCGGGGCCACAGAGGTACGCTTTTAGGGGCTCGCCAGAGCCCTTCTGTGGGGGCCTGTGACCTGGCCAGCAACCTGAGTGCGCCAGGGTCACAAAGCAACTGCTCACAGAGCCCCGTGGCTGAGAGCCACCAAGCTCCATACCGCCCTCTGGTGCCCGTGCGTGGAACCACAGAGCCAGGCCTCGAGAGTGCAAGACAGGCTTTGAGAGGAGACCAGGATACTCAGGGCTTAAAACTCCAAGCCTGGTGCCAATAAATAAATAAATCAATACCCCAAGCCTGCCATGTCCACGGGGATGGCCGTGGCTTTAAAATGTATATTTAACAGTTCCACGTCTTTGCTGTTCCTGTGTGTTTGGGGGCTTTGGTCCCTTTCCTGCAGTTATCATGAAATACCCGACAGTGTGCTGTGGTCCCTCCGGTCTGATCTGCACAGGTGCTGAAATACCACACTGTGTCGGGTAAATATGAGCGATTATCATGCGTTGGTCGAAATTATTTGAATGTTTAAGGAGATGGAAATGTTAACTACCCGGATTTGATCAGCACACACAGTGTATATGAAGTTGTCACATAGTACTCTATAAACTTGTACGACTAAAACAATAGTTAGAAAATATATGTATAAGTTCTTTAAAGACAGCAGCAACGCAGCCCATGTTGGTGGAGGCCTGACCTCTCCTACGGGGACATGGCAGGGCTGTGTCCCTGCTCCCGTGTATCTGCAATGCCTTCTTGGACATAAGGCCCCTGGGTGTGAACACAAGCACATTTGAAATGTCACTGCACATTTGTGACATCCTTTCAGCACCAGGTCTCTTTTCTCTTAGGTGCGTTTCCAAGAAAGCCCCTGTTCTCTGCCCACCCAGGTCTCCTGGTAACTCTGGGAGACGAGGGGAACCTCCATTGTGAGTCAGACTTGGGGACTCTATTTCTGTCCCAACGGCAAGAGGAAGCCCCCACTCCAGACTGTGGTCAACTGAAAGATAAGGAACCCTTCCCCTGGGCTGTCTCCACGGACCTGCCGGTTCTGACCGTTTCCTTCTCAAGGAGTCGTTCGAAGCGTGGCCACTCCTGACTGGCCTCTTCCACCAGGGTTCTCAGGGTGCCCGTCCTGTGGCGTGTTCCGTCCCTCTTTTTTAATTGGGGTAAAATGCACATCACATACAATGTGCACGTCGCATTGCCACCAAACACACTCCCGCTGCCCAGCAACCGTCTCCACCGTCCACCTCCAGGACCATTTTCATCTCACAAAGCTGAAACTCTGGGCTGGGGTGTGGCTCGGTGGTAGGGCACTTTCCCTGCGTGTGCAGGCCCTGGGTTCCGTCCCCAGCACCACGAAAAGCACCCTGAAAACTCACCCATCCAAAAACCCCCACTCACCCCTCCAGTCACGGGCCCACCATCCCTCCTGCGGTCTCTGTGGTCTCTTTTCCTTTCTGTGACTGGCTCGTGTCACTTAGCATAACCCCTCAAAGCCCACCCCCCTGTAGCGTACAGCAGGGTCTTCTCCCTTTCTAAGGCGGAACATTCCCCCACGCATCTCTACCACATTTTGCTCATCCATCATCTGTAGTAGACATTTGGTTGTTCCCGTCTTTGGGTGTCCTGAGTGTCGTGCTATGAACGAGGGTGTAGGAATACCTCTTTGATATCTGCCTTCAGTTGGTCTGTACATATGACCAGAAGTGGAATTGCTGTACTATGAGCTACGGCTACCTCCCATTTTATTTTTTATCTTGAAACAGGGTCTCTGTAAGTTTCCCAGGCTGGCCTTGAACTTGTGATCCTCCTGCCTCCATCTCTGGGGTAGCCGGAATTACAGATGTGCACCACCATACCTGGCCTTTAATTCCATTCTGAAATTTTTTGAGGAAAGTTTTATTTCTTTTTATTGTCTAATAACATATAGCTGTATGGATATGTTGAAATTTGTTTCCTTATTCAACTGATGCAATCAAATGTTAATTGATAGTGAGGCTATTGTGAATCATTGCTACTTTCTGGCTATTATAAATGATGTACTATGAACTTTCACAGAAATCAAGACAGTGCAGTTTTAGTAAAAAGATGATCACAGACCTAGAAAGAACAGAGAGCCGAGACTAACACAAATATGACCACTTATTTTTTTTGACAAAGGAGCCAAAAAAATTCAATGGAAAATGGAGAATTTACTTAGCAAATGGGATTAAAGAATTGGATGACCATATGCAATAAAATAACTTAAACTCAAATCCCACACCTCCTACAAAAATCAACTCAAGGTGGGTCTCTTTCCACTGATCTTTGTCTTCTTCCATTTCTTTCATTAGTTTTGTAATCATCAGAGCACAGATTTTTCACTTCCTGGTTAATTTAGTCTTGAGTATTTTTGATGCCATCACAAATGGGATTGTCTTCTTGCTTTCCTTTTAGGATAAGTTGTTCTTTGTGTAAAGCAATGAAGCTGACTTTTGCAGGCTGAGGGCTTGCGGTCTTTGGAGTTTCTGACATGTGCATTGCATCATCTGCAATAGAGATAGCTTCAGTTCCTCTGTGATTTATGTGCCTTGTTTCTTTTTCTTGTCCGATTGCTCTTGTGGGATAGAGGGGCCTCCTCGTCTTGCTCCTGATCTCCAGGGGAGAGCATCCAGTCTCCCACCGTGTGGAATGTTCTTTTATCAAGCTGCAGGATGCCTTCTGTTCCTAGCTTGCTGGTACTTTCTTTCATCGTGAATAAGTGCTGGGTTTTGTCACACACCTTCTCTACATCAGTTGATAAGATCGTGTGGCTTGTATTACAGGGTCCTCAGGGAATCTGAACCCATAGGGTACGGAGAGATTTGTCATGAGGAATTGGCTCAGGCATGATGGAGACTGAGAAGCGCCATCATCTACCTTCTGCCCCTGGAGACCTGGGACGACCAGTGGTGTGACTTGCCCAGGTCCAGGGGTCTGAGAGCCGGGAGGTGATGAGCCAGGATGCTCCAGATCCAGCAGAGAGGCAGCAGGAAAGGCAGGACTGCCCTTTCCTCTGCCTCTTGCCCCACTCGGGCCCTCCATGGACGGGATGATGCCCACCCCTGGGAGGGTCCGTGGATAAGTGACAGACCCACCCAGAGTGAGGCTCCTGTGAGCACCAATGGCCCAGGAGGCCCACGCAGCGTCACCGTCACAGGACTCTGTCCCCGTCTGGCAATGCAGGGGGCCTCTCGACTGCTCCCCGGGGGTCCCTCCTGCTGAGCCAGGCCTCCACCAGGAACCCCAGCAGGATCAGCAGGGTGACACCAGCCAGGCTCAGCCTGAGCATGTTCACCTTGTAGGAATTCCAGGCAGCAGACCCTGCGAGAAGAAATGGGTGGGGTGGGGGTCCAGGATGGAGAATCACACCCCAGAAACACACACAGAGCGGACTGTGAGCCCAGCCAGCTGCCCAGGGACCTGAGGTCCCGGTTCCCGGGTGTGTGTGGCTACGCAGGTGGCCCCTTGCACAAGGGCACCTGGCAGAGGTGGTGAGGAGGTGCTGAAGTCTGGCCCAAACCCCTGCTGGCCACCTGCCTGTCTGAAGGACTGGGCCCCAGATAAGTCACAGGAACTAGGGGACCACCTTCTCCAGGGCCGGGTTGGCAAGGCCCTCCTCTGTTTTTTTGAGGGGCTGCTACCCCCACAGGAGCCTGCCCTGTCCCCAGAGGCTCTGGGTCACCCCCTCAGCACTGGGCAAGTGGACAACGCTTGATCCTGCAGAGAAGGTGGGCCGTGGGACTCACCTCGTCCTGAGAGCCTCAGGGGCTCACTGGGGTCTGACCACAGCGAGGGGAAGGAGCTTAGAGAACCGTAGCATCTGTAGGTGGCCCCGCGGGCCTGCTCGCTGGCGTCCAGGGTGAAGTTGGCCTGGAAGAACCCGCGTTTATACTGAGATCTGAGGCGCTGGGTGGCGTTGGCACTGCCCTCCTGGGACAGAAGGAACAGGTCGAACCACATCTCTGAGCGGCACTGCAGGGTCGTCATATGCTGGGGTGCCCCAGAGGGGCCCTGAACAGCCAAGAGCTGAGGCTTTTTGTACACTCCTAGAGGGAGAAAGCCACAGTGGGTGCCGGTGTGGCCTTCCCTTCACCCTGAAAGCCACCCCACACACACTCTGTTCCACCCACACACACTCTGTTCCACCCACACTGTCATCCCTTCTCTGTATGGAAATCCACCCTCCTGACCTTTCCCACACCGTCCCCTCTGCCTGGCCGCCCTTCCCTGAATGCTCAGTGACCACCTTGCATGGGGTCTTTTCTACCAAGGCTCTGAAACACCCTGCCCTCCAACCCCAGGGCCTGGCCCTGCCTGGCTTTCCTTCCTGGGCCTCACCACCAGGTGGCACGGACTGTCAACAGCTGGCCACTTGTGGCTCCCTTCTGCAGCAGGGGAAAAACTCATTCGAGATCCCAAGTTCACACCCTGTTCAAAAACCAACTTAAAATGGACTAAGGAGCTAAATTTCAAAAAGAACCTTTGAAAGCCTTAGTAGAAATGAGAATGTCTTCACGGTGCCATGTGTGCTGTGGAAAGTTCCAGAACAAGTGGCCCGTTTTCCTGGAAACTGCCAGGTGGTAATCTTTAAGCTTCACAGGCCTGGTGAGCTCTGCCGCCACCTCTCAGCTCTGCCCTCGTAGCAAGAAAGCAGCCAACCACACGTGGCCACCTCTCAGCTCTCGACCACGCGTGGCCACCTCTCAGCTCTCGACCACGCGTGGCCAGGTTCCACTAACGCTCGGCCCATGGGAACAGAGCGTGTGTTCCATATAACTCACACTTGGCACCCGTGTTATTCTCTATGTCTTGGGCCTTTTTCCAACCAGGTGTGGCTCGGGGGTAGAGCACATGCTTGCTGTGCACCAGGCCCTGAGCTCAATTCCCATAACCCACATGAAAAGGCACGAAGGACATTCGGTGCCCAGGCTGCGCAGACGGTGGGTGGACCTGGCCCCGGGCTGTGCTGGGCGCAGTCCAAAGTCACTGGATGGCGATGGACAAGACAGCGAGATATGAACCCACAACTCTGAGACACAAGACAACGATACCCTGTTTGTAAAGCCAGGGCCTGAAAGGCACAGGTGGTGGGCCTGCAGGTGCCGGCTTTTGCAGGCTGAGTCCCTGAGGGCCAGGGGACAAGAGGGCCCAGATGCGGGCTGAGCACAGGATCCCAGCCGCTGAGCATTAGTAACAAACCACCCGCAGCGTCCACAGCGGTCCCTGCGCCCTGAGCCGGGTGAGGGCGCCAGCAGGATGGCTCGCGGAGCCTCACCAGGGGAGGAGAACCCCGAGCGAGCGGGCATGTTGTGGGGTGGAAGGGAGAGGGGAGGGTCAAAGCACACCCCAGGCCTGCACTGAGCAGTCCAGCCCCAGAAGCGCCCACGAGAAGGGAGGAAGGGGCCCCGGGTTTGAAGGACTCTTGGTGAGCTGAGCGCAAAGTCCTCGTTCGCGTCCACAAAACGTGTCACTAGGCAGAGGGCCGGATCATTGTCCTGTGCCTCCACCCACCAGCGGCCAGCAGGGAGACCACCCTGCCCAGCCTGATGATTCTTAGGGCCCACAGCACACCCTTCAGATCCAAGCCAGCCAGAGCCCCGGCGGCCAGCACTCCTCCTGGGCATCGCCCCTCAGGTGGCAGCCCTCTGCCCCGCCCCGAGAGCCAGCAGCCCCACACCAGAGCCGCTGAGCCCACTCTAACCACCACCCCACACCGCTGCCCTGCCCTCCCGGCTCTGCCTCCTCTTGGCCCGGCATCTGGGCAAGCTCCGGGCCTTGGCCCTGCCTCTCCCTGGCCACCGGCTCCTGATCTGTGGCCTCACAACACGTAAGTAATAATGAGACCCCATTTTACAGCAGCCAGCACCACCCAGCCAAGATCAGTGGGTAGGGGGAGGGTAGAGGTGTCCAACAAAGGTTGGGAGGCCACGTTGTCCCCAGGCCAGTCTCCTGGGGCCTTGCAGCTGGGCAGGGGCCTGTTCACAGTGCAGGAGTGAGCGGGTGGTGAGACTGCTCAGGGACCAGCCACCATCCCTCCTTACACCCGCCCCCCCAGGGCTGCCCAGTGCCCTGGGGAGCCAGGTTCCCACGGGCACTGGACAGAGCTTCCTCACCTGTGACCATCAGCTCCAGGAGGTTGCTGGGAGCTGACCACCCGTGGAGGGAGGTGTTGACAGAGCCGTAGCATCTGTAGGTCCCCCCGTGGGCCCGGGTGGCAGGGGATAAGAGGAACTTTCCCTGGCAGCCTTGGATGGAGCCTGCAGGCAAGGCCAGTTCTGCTCCCTTGGACAGAAGGAACACGTCATAGGCGCTTGGTAAGTGACAGTGAAGGGTCACGCTGCCTCCTAAAGCCACCATGGGGCCAGGCTGGACCGAGAGGGTAGGTTTGTCCTTGGAGACACCTGGCGGGAAAGAACCCTGGTGTTACAAGGAGCATGAGGAGCCACAAGGAGCCACAGAAGCCACAGGCTCCCATCAAGGCCGAGAGGAGAGTTGGGTTGCAGAGCCTGGGCTGGCCTCTTGTCTCCACCAGGACGACGGCCATGGCACGGCCCTGCCCAAGACCCCAGAAGGCAGGTGAACCAAGCCCAGGCCCCCAGGGTCTCTGTGGCTGGTGCGGGGAGGGGTCCATTCATCACCTTTCTGTCTTTTTTTAATGGAGGTGAAATTCCCATAACGTAAAATCAGCCATTTCAAAGTGAATGATTCAGAAGCATTTAGCACGTGTTCAAAACCGGGCCGTCGCCTCCTCTCTCCAGTTCCAACAGAGGAACCCTGTGCCCTGAAAGCTGTCACCGGGGCACACCCTGCCCCTGCTGTGACCACTCGTCTGCTTTCCGCCTCTGTGGACTCGTCCACCTGGGAGTTTCACGTGGACTGAACCAGGCAGCGCGCTGTCTTTTGTGTCTGCTGCTTCCACCAGCGCTGACGTCACCGAGGTGCCGCTACGGTGCGCAACGTGTCAGTGTGCAGTTCTCTAGTGGCCAAGTGACAATCCATGGTGTGATAGGCCACAGGTTGCTTCTCCATTCAGTCCACGGAGGGACACTTGGGTTGTTTCCACCCTTTGGAAACCTGCCCTGGTGACCACGCAGCGTGTGGCCTCGTGAGTCCCTGGGGAACACGCGGCCTGTGGCCGTGTGGGTCCCTGGTGACCATGCGGCATGTGGCCGTGTGAATCCCTGGGGAACACGCGGCGTGTGGCCGTGTGCCTCCCTACTTCAATTCTTCGAGGCCACACCGGCATTTTCTTCTCTCACACACGCCAGGTGATGCTGACGCTGCCGTCCATGCTGTGACGCTAACAGGGCCACAGTGGCCCAGGAGACTCCCTGAGCTTCTCTTCATTTGCCCAGGACCCAGATTCTGGCCCTGTTCTGGGGTGGGGCTGAGCGATCAGGTGACCAGTGGGGGACGGCAGCCGGCAGCCTGGCGAGCACAGCGGAGGGCGGGGATGGACAGAGGAGGACGGGGCCCGGAGGGACAACGGGAGGGGCCCTCACCCACGACCAGCAGCTCCAGAGGGTCACTCCTCTCGGACCAGCTGTCCTGCGTCTTGTACTGACAGACATACGTCCCCGAGTGGCCGGGCGTGGCCCGCTGGAAGGAGAACGCGGCCTCCGCCTGGGCGTCTCCCGGGCCTTCTGCAGCCCACACGCGGGAGCCTCCCACTTGCTGCAGACGCTGCCGAGCTGCCCCAGGAGGACCTCTGCAGAAGATGGACACAGGGCTCCCCTGGGGGACCACCGGACCTGGCACCGCCCAGATGGAGGGCTTGGGGAGAGACCCTGGAAGGGAGACAGAACCGAGACAGAAGGTCCAGACGCCAGGAAGCCCCTCTTCGTGCTCGCCTGAGAGGCCCAGGAGCCCAGGGAGTGAGCTCTCCCCGTCCACTTCCTGTCCACGGCCTTGGCCACGTCTCAACAGGGACGAGGCAGACCCTGCATGCACCAGTGGGGTTTGCCTCAGCCCCGTCCCCGACCCTGCCCTGCCCCACCCCACCCCCACCCCCCGCTCCCCGGCTCCCCAGCCCCGTCCCCCACCAAGCACTGCCCTGCCCCCCGGTTCCCCAGCCCCGTCCCCCACCAAGCACTGCCCTGCCCCTGGCTCCACAAGCTCTGGCCCACCTCATCCTCCCCTGGACGCTCTTTCTCTATCTCTGCACTCTCTTCTGCCCAACCTCCAAGTTGTGTAGCAGCTCAAAAACTGTCCTCAGACCGCAGCTGGGCACTCTCCTGGCCCCCATGTGGTCTCCCTGGTTCCTGGGTTTCAACCCATCTCTAGGCTGGTGAGTCACAGCTTATATCCAGTCCCAGACTCGTGCCCTAAACTCAAGACTCATGCCACCGACCCGGTGCATCTCACTAGTGGGTGTCTAACAACATCTCAGACCATCAGGCCAGAGCTCCTGCTGGGGCCGACCCACCCTGATGGCCACCGGATACAGCCCCAGGTCCCCTTCAAGGAAAGGCCTGTCACCCTGGCTGCTGGGGAGATGTCAGCCCTTCTGGGGAGAGCCACCTCTCCCAGGTCCCCTGCATCCAGCGACCCAGACACTTCATCCCAGTGCAAGACACGGTGACGGGCCACCAGCTCCTGAAGGGTCAGCAAAGGCCGTGCTGAGCAGGCATCTCACCTGGCCCCGCCTCTGTGTACTACACGTGTCCCTGAAAAGCCATCTGTGAGCTGATCCCCAGCAGGACGGCAGGGAGATGGGTGTAGGGAGGTAACCGGGGCGGGAGGACAGCCCCTTCATGGAAGGAGTGATTCCCTTGGGGAAGAGACAAGGACAGCTTGCTTCTCTCTCCTCTCCACCCACAGGCAAGGAGGAGCCCCCGCCAGACCACAGACCCCCAAGCCAACGCTGGCCATCAGTCCACCTCGGCCTTTCTCCCTGACCCAGAACCGACAGGGCTCTTCCAGCCAGTGGTGGCCAGCGCCCGCGCCCTCTGTCTGGGATGATCAGTCACCACCCAGTCAGCCTCCTGGGCCAGCCGCGGCCAGCGTCTCCGTTGCCCACCCAGTGCAGAGCAGTCCTTGTTAACACACCCACCAGATCCTGTCCCCACTCTGCCACCGGCCTCCAGGGCCTCCCTGTCTTGAGCAGTGTACAGGTCAGAGCACGTGATGGTGTGCAGGGTCCCCCCCAAGGAGGCGGCCACCCGAGACACGGCCCCCTCATCCCAGAGCCTGCTTAGTGCCCAAGCAGAGGAACCCAAAGTCCACGTGTGCGAGCCCTTCCCAACCACTGCCCAAGGCCACCGTCGTGACGGAGGCATGTGCCCGTGGCAGCAGGGGAGGGACCCCGCAGCATGTTTGTGGCCTGTGGGCCGGGAGTCCCGGGCTCCTGGTGAGACCCCGAGGTAGGAAGGGAGACAGCCCTCGGCCACGCGGGCCTTTCCCCAGGGAGGGGAAGGCCAGGGGAGACTAGAAGGGCCCTCCCTCTCACAGTGGTGCCATTGCCCCAGCCATGGGCAGCACCGGCCCCTGGCACAGCCGTGCCACGTGCCGCCGCTCCTCTCCCGGGACCTGTCCCCAGCTCGCTGTGTGGCCTGCTGCTGCATCTTCAGGGACCACGTCCTGGGCGCCCCGTTCAGAGGTGCTGGCTCCACCCCTGGGCTCACCAGCACCTCCCCCACGGCGCCCCTCTCCACAGCAGCAACACTGACCACAGCCTGGGCCGTCTCCTGGACGCCGTCTCCTGGACGCCGTCTCCCAGGACCAGGCTCCCCGCAGGAAAGCGCTTGGTCCTGGACTCCCTCGCACACTCGCAGGTATAAAGGTGGAGACTCTGTCGCTCGGTGCTGAGGACCTCGTTGGGATAAAGCAAACCAAGGAGGACAGTTGCATGGGATGGGCTCAACACAGTGCCCAGAACGTGACCGACTCTCCGTAAAAGCTACCTGCAATGACAGTGACCAGCTGACATGCCAAACGAACATCCACGGGAGAAGCAGGAGAGGACTCATCTCAGAGCCAGTCTTCAGAGGCCTGGCCACGGGCCGGCCGCACCAAGGTCACTACACGCTCCCAAGGAGGCTCCGTGCTCCTGGGTGGACGGTCTCCGTGTGTCTCCTGAGGGCTGGTGGCTTCCCAGTCCTGCTCTGAACAGCGAGCCAGGCGCTCAGTCCTGGGTGTGTGCACGCGTGTGTCCCCAGGGAGGGAACCCAGGGGTGCTCTCCCACTGAGCCACATCCCGGCCCTTTTTATTTTCTATTTTGAGGCAGGGTCTTGCCGAGTGGCCTAGACATGCCCAGTCACCGGGATGACGGGCACGGCCACCACGTGATCATTGTGTTCTAAACACTTTATTGTGAACTCAACAGCACCCTCACGCTTGCCATCACCACCCCCAAAATGGAGAGGACCGGCTCCAACAACTGAGACCCAACACCTCCAGAGACACCCTGGCACGCTGCCCCAAAGAACACCCCGGAAAGACAGCACCTGTGTCCAGTGGCTTTCACGTTGGTCAGTTCCAGCCACACTTCCTGATGTTTGCCTGAGCCCAGGACACAGCACAGTGACACGTCTGCAGTGTTCACAGTCCCCAACAACTGGCTTTAAAAACGAAGCACGCTGGGCACGTTGGCCCACCCCTGTGACCCCAGCAGCTTGGGAAGTGAGACAGGAGGAGCCCGAGTTCAAAGTCAGCCTCAGCAACTCAGCAAGACCCTGTCTCAGAATTTAAAATGGAAGCCTCATCCCAGCAAACCGGAGACACCATGGGTGACACAGAACAGCAGCCCCCACCAGACGGGACACGCCCTGGGCTGCAGCCCTGTGGTGACCCTGAGGTCCTGGCCCTTTCTGTCACTGCCATTCCATCCCAGACCCCATTCCCTACAGCCTGATTTCCAGAGCTGAGGGACAGGGTTACAAGCACCACCAGGACACTGTGACCACCTGCCACCTGGAAACGCAGGACTGGACTCCAGGCAGAGCGGGTTGCTGAGCGCAGGGGCTTGCAGAGGGTAGAGGCGCAACTTTCACCTACGTCTGGCCTCGGGCCTGCACCCCCTTAGGCGAGTGTCCCCGAGTCCCGAGGAGCCGTCTGGGCGAAGCCCTGCACTTCCCTATTTGCTGTGTCGGCCTCAGTCTTGCTGCCCCCGAACTCACTGGGGTGTGGCCCTGCTTCAGGAGGGAGGGGGTCTCCTCCGCGTCTTGACCAGGCACTGCCCACGTGACGGCAAGGACACAGAGGGCAGCACGCCTGACTAGCCAGAGCTGTCTGGAGAGAAGAAGAGCCCAGGGAGCCTGGGAGGTGGACTCACCGTGCTGGGCCTGGATTCCAGGGCTCAGAGACAGTCCTGGGAGAGAGAGAGAAGAGAGGGGCTTCCTCCTCAGGCCCCGCTCACAGCCCAGACTAGTCTGGACACCAGGGCCTCTGGGGCCAGGCCTGCAGCCGGAGGAGGACATGGCTGGCCACTTGGGCAGGACCAGAGGCCAGACCTGAGGTGGCCACCCTCCCATCTCCCGCCCCTGTCCCTCCCAGAACTCACCGAGGTAGAACAGCGTGGTGAGGGTGCTGGCCATGGCTCTGCTGGGCCCAGCAGACGACAGGACAGCCCAGAAGGACGGATGGCGGGTCTGCGGGAAGAGGCTTTGTGCCTGGATGTCACATGAGGCCTTCACAGGAAGGCACACTGGTGGCCCCAGCCCCACCCTCGGGTGGCCAACCGCACCATTTCACAATTCTGCGACGTGGTCAGGGAAACAGACACGGGGACTGGACCGCCTGATAGGACGTCAGATAAGACCCCGAGAGTCCGGCCTAACTCTGCCCGCACAGAGCTGGCCACAGACTCACCCCTGGGGACCTGAGTGTCCCTTGAGCCAGAGGCTTGGCACCAACACCAAGCCCCTGTGGGACAAGAAGGGAATGAATTCCTGGAGATCCACTGCCCGCTGCCCCCGCTGCCCCCGCTGTGCCCCTCTGTCCCCGCTGCCCCTCTGTCCCCTCTGTCCCCACTGCCCCTGCTTCCCCTGCTGGCGACAGTGGAGCAGAGGCTCCCGGGCTGTGAGGGGGAGGGGACAGGAGCTGGCGTCTAACAGGGACAGTTTCTGCTTGGATCGATGAAGGGGTCTAGAGGGGGACAGTGGGGATGGCCAAGCCGCAGTGTGGACACACTGGATGCCACTGACTTCAGACCTACCGAGGGACGTGGTGAGCCTCACCTTCGTGTACCTCACACCGCAGTGAATCATGTAAATCACATCACGTGCCTTTTACTCCACAGACAGAAGGAGAAAGCACGACACCTGTCTAGTTACGATGTCATTTAATACGTGTAAACAGAAGACCCAGACGGAGGTCGTCTCTGCACATTGCCCTGTTCTCCCGCATGCCCCTCAGGGCACGGCAAGCCCAGGCCGGCCTCAGCCCCAGGCCCTGCCCGTGGGAACCTCACCGTCTGCAGCCCTCAAACCCAGGAGCCCAGAGTCGGGCAAGTCAGGGCCCTGGTGTGGGGCTGGACAGTCCACAGCCTCAGACTGCGCCACTAACGGCTGTCAGCTCTGGCGGGCAGCTCACCTCCCTCATGGGGCGGTCACAAGGTCACTGCCAAGGGCCGGGAGGCGGAGAGTACCCTGGCCCTCCAGCCAGAAGCCTAAGAAGAGGCCCTGGCCGGACGAGGGAAGGAGCCTGTGCGCCAAGGCAGGGGGCAGCAGCTGACCGGGAGCAGGCGGGGCAGGGACCGCCCGGGGCCTCGCTGACGTCCCTCCTCTGGCCCCCAACGGCTCCCACCATCCACAAGATGAAGCACTCCTTACCTTCACACTGCAGCGGCGGCTTCTCCCCCTTCTCAAACTCGCCCTCCACTCCACCGGCCCCAGCCTGGGCCTCTGTCCACGTCTCCACCCCAGCAGTTGGAGGACGCTAATGGAGGCTGCTAGTGGAGGCTGAAGTGCCAGCATGATACAAATTATAGATTATATGAATATAATTCATAGAGTCCAAGGACAATACGGAGTCTGAAGGGAGGTCCCGACCACCTTGGGGAGGAGCCCTCAAGCTGCCTGCTGCCCCTGCTGCCCCTGCTGCCCCCGTTATCCCCGCTGCTTCTGCAGGTGCAAGAGCCAGGCCCTGGGGAGGTGGCATGGGCAGCCACGGCCAGGACAGGACGGAGGTTCCGGGAAGCTGACGACAGGCCTAGCCTCTGAGCCAGGCTCCCTTGTGTGCACGCGCCCAGAGGAAGGGAAGTGGGGTGTGCAGGAGACTTCCTCCTGCCCCGGTGTTCATTTTAGGCAGGCCCACGGCCCCCCAGGGCCCTCCAGAGCCTCCCTGGGGAAGGAAGGAAGGGCTCAACGGTGTGCCCAGCCCCTCAGAGCCACATCAGGAGGGTCAGAGCAGGACACGGCCACCTCCACCCAGCCCACCGGGGGCCCAGCTGCACAGACAGGAGTGGGCTGGCAGGGGCAGATAAGACCCAGGCGGGGCATCTCTTCAGGTCCTGGGACTGGCAAGAAAGAGGGCAGACCCTCCCTGGCTGGCCCACCAGGCCTGCTGTGCCCGTGGGTCCTGCCCGTCACGACGTCATGACCAGAGACCAGGGAGCCTGGGAGCCACACTGATGGGTGGGACACGGGAGGTGCCCACGCACACGCAGCCTAACAGAACCCGAAGCCAGCAGAGCCTGCGCAAGGGCCCGGACCCAGCCTCAGCCCAAGTGGTCCCCGGCCACGGAGGGGCCAGCTTTGTGGGGACAGTTCTGGTTGCCTGATTCGTTCTGACCTGGCTTTCTGTTTTGTGGCCTTTCGCGTTTCATTTATATTTTTTTGGCAGCAAAATCGTGTTCAAAAAACAAAGACTCTAGGGCCACCACAGGTTGTATGTGCCTGTGATCCCAGGGACCTGGGAGGCTGAGACAGGAGGATCACAAGTTTGAGATCAGCCTGGGCAACCCAGTAAGACCTTCAGCAACTTAGCCAGACGTGCCTCAAAATAAAAATAAAAAGATCGGGGTGTGGCTCGGTGGTCGAGCACCCAGGATTCATCCCCAGTGGGATGGGGGATGGGAGAGCAAGAGGCACATTCCATGCATCTAAGTGTGGGGGACAGGAAAGCCTCTAAGCCGGAGTTCATGATTAAGGCCAAGGGTCACTGCCATTTCGCCACCCCGGGGTGCACTGCTTCAACTGAAGAGCCCCAGCCAAACAGCCTTTTTCTTTTCAACTTTCAGTGCTGCGGATCAAACCCTGGCTCACGCTGGGCAATCACACTTCCACTGAGCTCCCCCACCTCCCTTGGCCCTCCTCCTGCCTCAGCCTTCAAAGGGGCGGGGATTCCGGGTGTGCGCCACTGCACTGCAGCAGTACCAGCCAGGGCACCGGCGGCCCCTCCACAGGCACAGTCCTGCCCCAGGGAAGGTGAGTGTGAGAAGGCAGCTCACAGTGGTGGCCTGTAGGGTAGCGGCCTGCTTCCTCACAGAAGCAGGACAGAGACGCTCCAGCGCTCCTCGCCCACGCGCCTCCACGGCGGTGACTGGGGAGAAGGTTTGGCGCTGGTTTTCAGGAGATGGAGAATATACTCAGGGAGGAAAGGCTGGGCGGAGGGTGCTCTGGGTGGGTTGGAGAAGCACACAGTGCAACGCAGCCTCGTGTCCCTCCAACAGCCCCAGGGTGGCCTGGCTCCAGGGCTGCAGTCCCCAGGCAGGTTTCCTTTCTTGGTTCCTTGTCAGATACCATGTGGAGAGCGGTGACAGTGCCTGGGAGACCAGTGTCTGAGATTGGGGTCCCGGATGACTTCATGGCTGTGGCATACTTGGTGACTGGGAAAGTTTCTGTGCATAGGCATTGGATGCCCGGTTGCTATGGAGATGTCCTCCATGCTAGAGTCTTAACAGCTTGGACCTTATTCTCAGGCAGGGCAGCTCCTGGGAATGAAGGAACTTCCTTGCTAAGACAGCCACAATATTTCACCAGTTCTGCTGCTCCTGAATCTGCCGCAAATTAGTAAATTTAAACAATGGACTTCCTTGAGAGCTGCGCAGTGCTCCTAACATTGCACGTTGCAACTGTACAATGTAACTGAGGAAATAGCTGCATACTGTTGCTAACTCTGTAACTTTCATGAATACAGAGAATAATGCTTGCAAATCTTTAATCTGATTTAGAGACATATATAATAAAGACTGCTGGAGTGATTCCTTAGACCTGCTTCTCCATCAGAGAGCAGCCGTTTTATCTTCAAGATCTGCGTGTTGACTTTGTTTCTTCTAATCTCCCATCGCCCCTCACAGGAACCTGTTAGTTTGGCAGCGCTGGTCGCAGCAGTACCAGCCTAGGTGCGTGGCCCAGGCGGCTTGTCCTGTGTCCCTGAGCTGGAGACCAAGGTCACATTCTGTCTTGCTGGTGGGCATGTAGAATGTGAAACATGTGGTCACCACCTGACCTGGCCCTCCCCCTCAAGTACCTACAGATTGAATTTTGGATTCTCCTTTTCAGTGTTGCTTTTGATCAGTATCCGCAGATGAAGACTGATGGCGCCTACTAGTATTTCTGTTAAACCAGACTGGTGCTATTGGGTGAGTTGCACATTTCTTGTTCAGTTTATTCCTACATGTTTAATCCTCTGTCAATATACCAAACTGCAGCTTTTAACTAGCTGACTCTTTGCTGTGCAGGAGGGAAAGAAGTTGTGTGTCCTTGGGTTTTGGTTTGTTTTTTCTCTCGTTTTGCAAAATCCTAAATTTATCTTTTTTTTTTTTTTAACTTTCACCCCACAGTGTCCAAAAGGTGCCTTTCTACGTGATATGGAGACCTCTGGATTTCATGGTGTGTCAGACTGGAAATCACCTGTCACCTGACCAGCTCACCAGGTCCCAGGCTCTGGGGTACCAGGTCACTCTCAGGTAAGGTCTGCATTGCCATCGGAAGCCTGCCCCACGTCCCCAGCATCATTTCCATAGCGATCTGTCCAGTGCTAGCCACCTCACCTCTCAGCAGCGCCTTCTACCTGTCCCTCACCCCCCTGACCACGGGTGAAACAAGGGCTGGCACTGCCACAGCAGGCTGGCCCTCAGCTGCAGGGCATCTGCTTAGCATCCCCAGAAACGGACACAGATCCTGCCGTACAGTGGTTCTCAACTGAAGGTAATCCACCCCCCAGGGGACACTGGCAATGCCTGGGGACCATTTTGGCTGTCACACCTGGGAGGGGACGGCTACTGGCATCTAGAATGTGGAGACCAGGGTGTGCTATTATGCACAGGACAGCCGCCCACACCCTGCGTGTCCATCAGGCTGGGAAACCCGCCTGCGTCCCTCCCTCTTGGCGTCCACTGGGGAGTTCTTGCAGTTTTAGATGAGCACATGAGCCCAGATGACCCGATCAGACTGCAGTCAGAGACAGAAACAGCACAGCAGCCTGACGGCCCTGACGGCCACACGGTGACCCCAAAGAGGCCGAGTTGCTTTTTAGCTGCAATGACAGACCGCACGAACTTGGTGCCTTGAACAACATACGTCTATCCTCTCACAGTTCCAGAGGACAGAAACCCAAGTCAAGGTGTCAGCAGGCCACCGGCTCTGGGGAGAATCTGCTCTTCCCTCCGCGGCTGCTGGGGCCCAGGGGCCCTCGTCATCATCGCGCTCCTGCTCTGCTCCGGGTCTTCTCCTCTTCCGTCGTTTTTCAGGACACGTGCTATTGGACAGACAGCCCAGGTAACCCAGGATGACCTCACCTCAAGGTCCTGAATGACATCGGCAGAGCCTTCCACACATCAGGTCACTTTCCCAGGTGCCAACAGTTCAGACTTCACCACCCTTTAAGAGCCACCATTCAACCTAAGTCAGAGAGCCAGCCTTGGACTGAGGTCAGCCCTGGCAATGGTCAGTCAGGAAGAACCAGGTCACAGAACCCAAGGCCTGACCCACCTCTGGATGCTGAGGCTGGTCCACACCCGTGACCCTGGCCGGGCTTAAGAGGGGCTGGGCAAAGGGCTGGACCGGCTCACCAGGTCCCAGGCACTCACCTCTCGTTGCTGGGTCCTGGGGGCCCAGGAAGACCTGAGGAGGGGTCCCAGGACAGGGGCTCTCAGCCAGTGCACTTAACAGCACTTGGACGTCTCACGACTGGTGGAGCTGCCGCAGAGCCTGCCAGCTGACACCAGCCCACCTACACCCCCGGGTGTCCCTAGGCAGCCAGTGCCCAGCTCCGCCCAGTGCCAGCTGTCTGTGGTGGACTTGGCTCCCCTTCTGTGCTGCACCCACCACCAGAGTATCTTCTCTGCTGATTCCTCATCTGCTGCTGTTCACGGGTCTGCTCTCAGCTCTGTTCTGGGGTCCCCCCCAGGTAGGTTTCCCATCTTCCATCTCCCTGAAGGCTGCAGCTGGGTCTGCGAGACCCTCGGAGCTGTCACTATGCCAATGAGTCGATGCCTGTGGCACCTGGGGGAGGAAGCGGGTCACGAGGACTCGCAGCTAGAATCGGCCACAGTGCACACGTCGGCCTGAGACAAACCCCATGTGACCAGCAGCTTGGTAGCCCAGGCTGCACCATAACTTGGACACATGACCCCCGAGACAGAGGGCTTTGGGATGACCTGAATTCCATCACCCCTCTTACCAGGACACCAGGAGTGGAAATAATAAGTGACAGAAACCTGTGCATTTGAGTTGTTAGACCGCAAACACCAGTGGCGTCGACTCTGCCTAACTTAAACAGAACAGGAATTGGAAAATCTGAAGAGGCAGGGCAGCGTAGCAAGGGTGTCCACGTCCTCCTCTCTAGAACCCATGAAGGTTGCTCTGCACGGCCAGTGGGGGGCCAGTGGGGGGCCAAATACAGATACGGGGAGGTTTCTGGACAGCTGACAGGGAGATGGGCCCGGATTCTCCAGGTGGACTAGAAGTGACCGCAAGGGCCTCATGTGGGGAAGACGGAGGCAGAGTCAGAACCAGAGACAGCGTCCGAGGACTCGGTCACCACGGCCAAGGGTACATGGTGCAGACAGCCCCCACAGCTTCCCAGAGCCCCCTCCCCAGGGAGCCCCACAGGGAACCCCTGCAAGGGGCTTTATTGCAGGAGTCGCATCACGACCATGGAGCCCGAGGAGCCCCACCATCTGCCTGTGGTGTTGGGGTGGCCGCCCATGCGCCCCGCTCCTGGCTGTGCCCAGGAACAGCCTGCTCCTCTCCGCTGGACCTACACCTCGCTCTGATGGAGCACAGCCAGGGCACCCAGGTGGTTGTGGGCCTGCCTCGGTCTCTCCACGTCCGGCTGTCCCTGGCAGCTGTCGGGCGCGGCGCTCAGTTCTGGATTCTCCGTAGAGCAGCTCAGCCCACGGCACCCAGCAGAGCTGCCACCAGAGGGCAAGGGTGCCTGCCGCGGTCGGCCCCTGCCCTGTTCTCCCAGTCGATCATCCATCCCCAGACACGAGTCCTGGTCCCACCCACACTCCAAAGGAGAGGACCACCCAGGGCAAGAACACAGGGAGGGGCCACCGGGGCCGTGTGGGCAGCTGCCCCCAGAGCCAGCTCATCTCAGTACACCCTCTGCCATCTGGTACGACGTGGCCCAGAAAGAACATGAACTACACCTGTGACGCCGTGACCAGTGGCTGGTCCCTGCATTGCCCCTCACACTGCTGACCCTGGGCTTCACCACCGAGCCACACCCCACCCTGTTCTGTGGGGTAGGGCACTAAGTGGCACCGCTGCTTCCGCAATTCTCCAAGATGTGTACCTTGATTCTGAGCCTGCGGAGCCCCGCCACGTCTGAGCCCCCACGAGCACCTGGCTGGCCTCACCCAAATCCCCACCCCATTTCTTTTTTCCCCTATTATTTTTTAGCTGTAGATGGACACCACACCTTCATTTTGTTTGTTCATTTATGTTTATTTGGTGCTCGGGACGGAACCCAGGCCTCACACATGCTGGGCGGGCGCTCTGCCCCTCCCCGCCCCATTTCTGACACGTTAGTCTCACAAGAACCCCAGGCTTCAGCGAGGGCAGAGGGTCTGTCCCTGAAAGGAGTAAGGACATAGCCGTCCTGCGCTCGCTGGCACCTCCCCACAGAGGACTGAATCTAGGACGCAGCGAGGCGGGCCCGGGAGCAGGGTGGCGGGCCCAGGCCATCCTGGTGGAGGGGTCTGGCACGCCCCTCGGCCCTTCCCTCAGCCAGGTGACATGAGGTGAGCGCCCAGGCCCGGAGCACACAGGGCACGTGCCTCTCCACAGCACCACTCCTCCCTGCTATTTGATTCCCCAAGAGAGGCAGGCTTCTGATGGCCCGCACTGTCAGCAGGGCACGTGGTTCCTGCAAGCCCCCAGCAGGTGCTCACCTACAGCCCAACCCACTGTGGGCCGCTGACGGACATGGGGCCGGTACTGCCCCCTGGAGGATGGCGAGGGTGTGGCAGCCTGTGCCCTTGGTCTTGAGGCT